CTGGAGGCTGTTTGGGGGAAGCCACCCAAAAGAAAAACTATAAAGAAAAGGTGCTGGAACTGGTTGGGTAGTGGAGCACACCTTTAATCCCAGCATTCAAGAGGCAGAGGCAGGCAGATCTCTGAGTTTCAGGCCAGCCTGGACTATAGTGCGAGTTCCAGGACAGCCAGGGCTACACAGAGAATCCTATGGGGGGGGGGGGGCGGAGAATGCTAGAACTGGAAGACCTTATATCTAACCCCACCCCCAGAGATAAAACTTCATTTCCCCTATTCCCTCTTGCAAATATTACTCCAGAATATCACAAGAGGAAAGCCTGGTAAACTATTCCAACAATAATCCCAGGTATTTTCCTTATTTACTTTAAAATCCTACTCATCTTTAATCTCTTCAAATCTAATGAAGTATACAAATGCTACGCAATAAAAATTTAGTATTCTGCTGACCAGTGGTGGTGCATGCCTTTAATCCCAGCACTTAGGAGGCAGAGGCAGGCAGATCTCTGTGAGTTTGAGGCCAGTCTGGTCTACAGAGGGAGTTCCAAGACAGATAAGACTACATAGAGAATCTCTATCTCAAAAAACACCAAAAAATAAATTCATAAAATTTAGTATTCTATTTAAGGGAATTCTGAGACTCAGTTACTACTGCTCATACACACAAAGACTAAGTACTCTCAACTGTGAACTGCTCACAGTGGCACAATAAAAGAACATCAGTCAGGCATGGTGGTGAACACCTGTTGATCCTAGCCCTAACCCTCACTTGGATCTACATTTTCAATATCATATAAGACTTTACTTGGTAAGTATTATATAGCAATGAAAGACGATTTATGGGATGGCCCAGCTAGAAACTACTTGGTTTGCTCTCCCCCAATCATAACCAAGGTAGTTCAGAAAATCAGTTTGCCATTTTATTAAGGTTATGTAGCTGTTGCTGAGCATAACGAGACCCTATTTTATTTTAAAACAAACAACAAAATCAAAACAAGCAAACAAACAAAAACCAGAGAGACTAATGGAGATGGCTAGAGAACATCCTATAACTCCATAAAAGGATGTCAATCAAAGTAGGAATAAATTTAGGTCTCTAAGCAGATATTTTGAAGACAAATAGCAAATGCTATAGTATTTCACTGTAAGTAGGTATGAGGAATACAAGTGTGTAGAAGTAAAGGAACAGCATCAAAATATCCTGTTAGGCCGGGCGGTGGTGGTGCACACCTTTAATCCCAGCACTCGGGAGGCAGAGGCAGGCGGATCTCTGTGAGTTCAAGGCCAGCCTGGGCTACAGAGTGAGTTCCAGGACAGGCTCCAAAGCTACACAGAGAAACCCTATCTCGAAAAACCAACAAACAAACAAACAAACAAAAAATCCTGTTAGTGGAGAGTGAGCTCATGTCAAAAAATCCCCTGTAGTCAAGAGGCTGAGGTAGAAAGACTGACAGGAGTTCAAGAACCTGGGTGGCAGAATGAGACTCCATCTTAAAAATACAAAATAGGCTGCGGGTGTAGCATATACTTTTAATCTTAGTATTTATTTGGGAGACAGAAGCAGAGGGATCTTTTTGAGTTTGAGGTCAACCTAGTCTACACAGAGAGCTCTAGATAAGCCAGAACTACAAAGTAAGACTCTGTCTCAATAACACAAACAAAAATGAGGGCTGGAAAGGTGGCTCAGCATTTAAGAGCAATAGCTCCTCTTGCAAAGGATATTGGATTCAGTTCACAGCACACATAGTAGTTCACAATATTCTGACACTCCAATTCCAGGGATCTGATACCCTCTTCTAACCTCTGCAGGCACTGAACATATAGGTGGTACACAATCATACACGTAAGCAAACTCTCATACACATAAAATTTAAAAATCTACATAAAAACAAAAAAGGGGGGAGGGGTGAGGGTTGTTAAGAGTGATAGCCCAGATGTTAAAAGCACTTGCTGTTCTTGCCGAGGACTACATTTGGTTCCCAGAACCCTACAGTGGCTTACAACCAACTAATTTCAATTCCAAGGGATCTGATGCCCTCTACTGGTTTCTGTGGACACATGCATATGGTGAACATACATTTTCATGGGAAAAACACACAGAAAATAAAAATAAATCTGTAATAATAAATTAAAAAGTAAACAAAAATGTATCATATGTTTTGATGATTAATCTTCATAGTCAACTTGACAGGATTTGGAATCACAGAAACACAGCTCTGCGCCATCATGGTATAGTGGGTTTTGCTAGAAATGCTTAACTGAAGATGGAAGACCCACTCTGAATGTGGGTCCACTATTTTAGGGTCTCGGGTCCTAGACTTATGGGCAGACGGGGAGAAAAAGTGAGTAGAATAAGACCAATTCACCTCTCTGTTCCCTGAGTGCAGATACAATGTGACCATCTACCTTATATCCTGCTACTAACATGTATGCCCTAAAATGATGGATTATACTCTCAAACCATGAATCTTTTTCCTGTAAGTTGATTTTGTTAAAAAATTTATCACAATAGTAATACAAAAAATTTGTAGAGAAGTGAGGCTGTTGCTCTATCTAGCCAGGTGGTTTGTAGAACTTTTGAATTGGTTTATCTCAACACTTACAACACTTTAAAGTTCAGTCTCTTCTGAGATTCACCTCCTAATTCTGAATCACCATGAAATAAAAAATAAATTACACACATTCAATATACAGGGGTACAGAGTAAACATTACCATTTCTAAACAGGAAAATGAGACAGAGCAAGGAAAAAATCAAATCAAAGCAAGATTGAAATATGGAAAGCAAACACTAAATCCTCTATAGCTCCACGTCTATCATCTGGGGCCTTTGGTACACTTCTTTAATAATCTATCCTGATTACCTAAATGAGAGTAGAGTGGCTGGCTACTCTAACAGCTACTCAACATTACACTATCAATTCCATACACTGGTTCTCATTAACTTGAACTTCTTTCTACTAAGCAGACACTAATGATCTGAAAAGCTATAACCTAACTGCAAGACCTAATTATTTCTTTAGCTCACTATACCCATGATTTTTTTTTTTTTTTTTTTTTGAGACAGGTTTTCTACTGTGTAGTTTTGGTGCCTGTCCTGGATCTAGCTCTGTAGACCAGGCTGGCCCTAAATTCACAGAGCTCCACCTGCCTCTGCCTCCCAGTGCTGGGATTAAAGGCATGCGCACCACTGCCGCCTGACACCCATCAATATTTTAGACATAATTTCACTGAAGACCTTTCTTCTCCTTCTTGTGAAGTGCAAGGACCAGCACACTCTCACAAAGGAGGCAAGATAACAAGATAGCTAGTGTGTTGGCTCTAGACATACAATGTATGAGAACAAATTCTGGTTATACAATTCAGTAAACTTACAACCTCTAACAAATGATCAACCTCTCTAAACCTCAATTTTACACATCTGCCAATAAGGATGGAGATACTCATCTCTTGTGGGTGCCACAAGAATTAAAAGACACATATGTAGAAAGCTGTCTGGGATGAAATAAGTATCTATTACATTTAAATATGCATATCAAGTTCTTAGAATGTGATAAGTGGCATTTTTAATTGTTAAGTTTACAGCTCAGGCTAAACTTTCATCTCATAACCCCTATACCTCAATCCTCCAAGTGCTGAAATTGCAAGTTTGTAGTCACCATAACTGATCAAATTATTTTTGCCCACTTCAAGACAAGGTCTCACTATGTATCCCTGGGTAGCCTCAAACTCACAGATCCTCCTGTCTCTGCCGCCTGAGTGCTGGGATTAAAGGTATGGGCCACCACATCCAGCCTTAAATTACATCCTTAAAAACTCCTGCCCCACTATCAATATCATTATTGGTAGTACTTTAAGTTATCCACTTTTAGCCCATTTTGTCCATAGCACTGACTAACCTCAAAAGGAACATAAAAGTTAAAAATTCTACTCAAAAGACCAAGTTTAAGAGCCTTAAGAATTGCTGACATTTTTTTAAAAAAATTCCTGGCTAACATCTTTTTAGTACAAAAAAAAATCAAAAATAAAAAAAAATGTATTATTCTATTTAAAATACTATACCACAAACACCAAATTTAATATCCTTAGAAAAGCACTTAAAGTAAGATTTTTAAGGACGATTATAAGCTAGCAGAAGAAAGGGTGATGATAATGTGTATTCCAGACAGAAAGAACAGCAGGTACTATACACAAAGCTTGGAAGCACAGAATCTGGTATGAAAAACAAACAGGCAGCCAATATGGCCAGAGCAAGGTGAGCTCGGGAAGAACAAAATGAAGCAGGCACAAGATACAGAGGCCAGACTGAGGAGTGGTGCTCAAGACCATACTATGTCCAATAGGGCATTCATTAAGGGACTTTAAATTAGGACAGTTATTTAAAGTGAGGGAAGAGCATGCTTTATTGGATATAAAAGTTTTATTGGATATAAAAGTTTATACGAATCTTCAGAGTTATAACCCAAAATGTTTCTTATGAACATTTTTCTGCATACCTGCAGGTGGCATAATTTCAGTTAATAACACAAGCTATGATCAGACGAAGAGTAAACTCAATGGTGGCTGAGGATAACTTAAAGATACTCTGGGGTCACTTCAAGATCTTGGCATACTCAGTTCCACAGCCACAACTGGCCTGTAAAACTTTTCTCCACTATTACTATTAGAACAAACCAATACATTCCCAAAAGTCATTTGGCCTCAAGAGTTGTTTGAAGAAAAATGAGATGGCTCAGCAGTTAAAGGCCTGATAACCTGAGTTTGATTTCCAGGAGAACCAAATTCTCAAAGTTATCTCCTGATTTCCATTTGTGCACCATTATGTGCATGCACATACACAAAATTTTTTAAAATTTCATGTTAAGGCTGTTTCATAAAAGCTTAAAGCTCAAAAACCTTTACTAACCTCTTCTTCTTCTAGTTTTCTTTTCTTCTCCTTCTTGATATCTTCTGTCTTAATTTTCTTAGGTTTATAATCAGCACTAGAAAGGGGAACATGAATAGGCAGTTAATGCAAATATGACTTAAGAGTTCTCACCACAGGATTAGGCTTTCCCAACTCTTGGTAGTTTCCATGGCAGGTGTGATTGCTGTTACTCTTGATTGGGCCTTCTACAGTAACCAAATTGTAACAAGTAAAGACCAGACCAAGGACTGGAGAGATGTTCAGCTACTAAAAGCACAGAATGCTCTTTCAGAGGATCTAGGCTTAATTTCCAGCATTTACATGGGACAGCTCACAATTGTCTGTAACTCCAGTTCCGGGGGATCTAATGTCCTCTTTAGGCCTCTGTGGGCACCAGGCATGCATATGGTACACAAACAAATGTTCAAGCTCATAGACATAAAATAAAAAAATAAAGCTAACAGAAAGACAGACAGAAACAGACTAGAGACCAATAGATGTGACTCTATGAAGAATTGCCTGATGTGGATGCTGGGAACCAAACTTGGGTCCTCCAGAAGAGCAACCACTAAGCCATTGCTGTAGCCAATATATTTGATTTTTAATTGTTGGATGTATATATGACTGAGTGTTCATATTTACGTGGAGGCCAATGAACATCCTCTGCTATACTCCTGAAGAACATTCTCAATCTCCTTTGAAACATGGTTTTTCAAGAGTCTGGAGTTCACAAGGGAGTTTTAGGAATTCTCCTGGCTCTGACTTCCCAGTTATAGGATTATAGGCATGCTCTACCATACCTGGAATTTATATGTGGACTCCGGATCAAATTCAGATCCTCATGCTTGCAAGGTAAGCACTTCAACTGTGCTACAGCCTAAAAACTTTTTATCAAAAATCTTTTGATTATCCATAGAGTATATATAATAAGGTACATAACTCACACTAATAAATACAATGTATTATCACAGGGTAAATCTAGGAAAGTGCCTTGAATAACAAGAGCAATTTCATTATCTCTGTACTGAAGGGTCCCTCATATATCAAAAGGCATAGATTCTAGAAAAAGAAGAAAAGAAAAATTGAGGTAGAGTCAGGTAGAGTCTCATGTAGCCCAAGTTAGCCTCGAACTCACTATGTATTCATTATGACTGAGTTTCTGATCCTCTTGTCTCCACTTCCCAAATGCTAGCTAGTATTACAGGCATACACTACATCCAATTTTATACAGTCCTGGAACCAATCTATGACTTTCTTTATGGTAGGCAAGCACTCTACCAATTGAGCTATATCCCTAACACAATTTTCTTAATTTACTTGTGGTATAAAACTGATGATGAATTCTAAGAGACTAACATAAATATCCTTCACTAACTTTGTATTATTGAAATTTCTATACTAAATATGCCTATCTTTTTAATAAGAAAAAGACCTTACACATAACTAACATAAATTAAAGCCGGGCGGTGGTGGCGCACGCCTTTAATCCCAGCACTCTCAAGGCAGAGGCAAGTGGATCTCTGTGAGTTCGAGGCCAGCCTGGTCTACAAAGTGAGTTCCAGGAAAGGTGCAAAACTACACAGAGAAACCCTGTCTCAGAAAAAAAAAAAAAAAAATTAAACAAATAACTAACATAAATTAATTTGTTCAGCAAACCCAATTTTCATAAATCAAGTCTATTAATGACAAAATGCCAATTAATCTTGGGGGATTTGTTGTTGTTGTTTAATTTTTATTTTTTGAGACAGGGTTTCTCTGTGTAGTTTTGGTGCCTGTCCTGGATCTCACTCTGTAGACCAGGCTGTCCTTGACCTCACAGAGATCTGCCTGGCTCTGCCTCCCAAGTGCTGTGATTAAAGGCGTGCACCACCATTGCTCGACCAATTAATGTAATTTTTGTTCATTAGAGATACATATGTATTCTTTAAACAGTCTTCTTTTAAAAAATTGAGTATCCTCTCTTCTAACTTATTTTTTAAACTTTATAAATCACACACAAATAAATAAACAAATAAATAAATAAATAAATAGAAATATCTCACACCAAAACTGATCAGACACAAAACTCAATCAATGTCTATACTTGAATGAGCATTCAGAATGGAAGTTCTGGAGCTTCATAATCAATTTTATATTTTCAGTACTGAATATATTTTATGCATTTATCAATGCACCAAAAACAAACAAACAAACAAATCCATGACAAGTGAGAAGTAGAAAAACAATTAGCTTTATACTCTTTCATAACTAATTTCGATCACCAGCATTCCATCTTTTGTCACTCCTTTCTATTTACCCTTTCCTATTCCCTTTCTTTGTTGTATACAGTATTTACAATTGTTTACACATATATACAGAGATTTCATAAGAGACTGTGGGTTTTTTTGCTTTCTGAAATTATGTGGGGTGGCGGTGACACACGCCTTTAATCCCAGTAGTTGGGAGGCAGAGGCAGGTGAATCTCTTGAGTTCGAAGCCAGCCTGTTCTATAAAGTGAGTTCCAGGACAGGCTCCAAAAGCTACAGAGAAACCCTGTCTCAAAAAACTAAAAAGAAAAAAGAAATTATGTGACCATGCTTAGTATTATACATATTAAGTCCATCCATATTCCTACATAAATTTTAACTTCATTTTTCTTTAGAGCTGAGTTGTGTATTCTATTATCCACACACATACAAAATTTTTCATATCCATTCATCTGTTGATGAACATGGCTGATTCCAATTTTTTTGCTCTAGTTAATAAGGCAGCAACAAGCATTCTTTTAAAACTGAAATTTCATTAGATGTTCTTCTTCAGTCAAACAGGAAGAAATAACATACTCATCCTCATCTCGAGGTCTCTTCAGTGGCTTTATGTCCTCTTTTGGAGGAACAAAATAGCCATCATCTTCAGGTTCATCTTTAATTCGTGGTGGACTAAAGAGAGAAAAAAATAAAACAAAACAGCTAGTTATTGATTCTTGTTACTAGAATGTCTACATTATATTAAATAACACAAAATAGGTGTCCTGGCTAGTTTTATGTCAACTTGACACAAGCTAGAATCTCATTTTAAAGGAATGAAGGTGCCTCAATTGAGAAAATGCTTCCCTAAGATTCAGTTATAGGGCATTTTTGTAATTAGTGACTGATGTGGGATGGCTCAGCCCATTGTGGATGATGATACATTGGGTCCTAGGTTCTATAAGAAAACGGGCTGAGCAAGCCACAGGGAGCAAGCCAATAGCAGTACTCCTCCATGGTCTCTGCATCAGCCCCTGCCTCCAGGTTCCTGCCCAGTTTGAGTCCCTGTCCTGACTTCCTTCAGTGATGAACAGTGTGAGGTGGAAGCATAAGCTAAATAAACCTTTTCCTCCTCAAGTTGCATTTATTCATGGTGTTTCATTATAGCAATAGTAACCCTAACCAAGACAGTAGGCATATTTCACTTACCAAAGAAAGACTAATGTGCACATGTATTTTCTACAATCACTTTTATATTCCATTACAAGCTTATAAAAACCTTACTTAGGTAATACTGTCTTCATTTTACAGGTAAAAGGAGTCTTCATTTTACAGGTAAATGGATAACGTCAGGATTCAGGAAAAAGGACCTTACTTCAAATTAAGCATTCTTTTCCTCACTAAAGTTTAGCTGCCTTTGTCAGTAGGGCTCAAATCAAAAGAATAAATTTAAATTATTTTAACTTACATGATAGATCTACTATGTATGTGACCCATGTCCCACAAATGACCCTAACTGTTTTAACAATCCAAAATTAAATACAGGCTCTACAAGGAAAGAAAGAAAACCTGACTGTCTAAGCATGGTATGCTAAAATGGTGATGTGGCAGTGACATACGTATTTTCTGCAGTAGTACAGAAAAATGACCAGTCACACAAAATTACAACAAAAAGCTAGGTGTTAAACAAGTACCAGAACAAAATAAAGTTATTCACATTAAGTCAAACCTTCCCCTGTTCCAACTTGCTCGTTAGGTTTCTTATTTCACACAAAACATGTCTAAATCTTTTGCTAAGACTCTGCTCTCTGAAAATAAAGATGACACAGATTTTAGGACAGTAGATCAGAAACTGTCTGTCTGTGATATGATGAAGGATAAGAGCCACAATAATAAAGAATATTCTTTGGAGGCTGGGGCAAAAGGACTATGAATTGGGGGGGGGGAGGAGAAAAGGGAAAAATAAACCCTTACATTCTAAAAATAAACTGGAAAAAAGTGGATAAATACAAGGTCTGGAGGGAGCACTCAGTGGTTAAGAGCACATACTGCTCTTTCAGAAGATCAGAGTTTGATTCGTAACACTTTTATCAAGTGACCCACAACTGCTCCAACATAGGGCAAACAACACCCTTGTCTGGTCTCCACAGGCACAATTACACATGGCATATAGGCATGCACCCACACCTACATCTTTAAGCAGTATTAGAGAAATAGCTCATCAATTAAAAGTACTGGCTATTCTAGAGTACCCAGGCTCAATTCCAAACATGGCAGCACATATCTCCAGTTCCAGAGGATGTGATGTCCTCATATGGACTCTGTGAACAGCAGTCATGTACACAGTCAAAATACCCATACACTTAAAATGAAAGTAAATCCTAATAAAATAACAGATAAAAGCTGAGCATCGAGCTAGAGAGATTGTTAAGTGGTTAAGAACATTGGTAGTTCTTCTAGGGGTCCTGAGTTCAGTTCCCAGCAGCCACATATTAGCTCACAGCCATCTATAATGGGATCTGATGCCCTCTTCTGTAGGTGTGCATGCAGATAGAGCACCATTTACATATAATAAATAAATCTTAAATTTTTTTTTTTAAAAGACATGAAAATTGGGGTTGGGGATTTAGCTCAGTGGTAGAGTGCTTGCCTAGCAAGTGCAATTAGGTTTGGTCCTCAGCTCGGGGGTGGGGGGTGGGGGGTGGGCAGAGCATGGTAGCATATTCCTTTAATCCTAACACTCAGGAGGCAGAGGCAGGTGAATCTCTGAGTTCGAGGCCAGCCTGGTCTAAAGAGTGAGTTCCAGGGCAGCCAGGGCTATACAGAGAAATCCTGTCTCAAAAAAATGAAAACCAAATAAAACAAACTAAAACACAACTAAGGTCGTCAAGATGTATCAATAGATGAAGATGCTTTGCTACCAATCCTGATAATGAATTCATTACTACCTGGGACACACATGGTGGAGAGTGAATTGATTCTTAGAAGCTATGCTTTAACTCCACATTTTTGTGTATTGTATCGAATGCTTGTACACACACACAAAACCACACAAATAGACAAATGTAATAAAAATAAAAACAAAGTTCACCAGGTATGGGGGTACCCATCTTTAATCCCAGCTCTCAAGAGCAAGAGGCAGGAGACCTCTGTGAACTCTATGATAACTTGGCCTACATAGCAAGTTCCAGGCCAGCAAGGGCTACATAGTAAGACCTGTGTCTGAATGAAAAGCAAACAAATACACTAGTAGAAATAAACCTAAACAACAGCCACAAAAGAAAGACTTATACAATGAACATTAAGATTCTCTGAATAGATTTAAGACAACATTAGAAAATGCAAAGACTATCCATGATTGCACATTGGTAAAATTAGTACTGTGAACCTAACTATATTATTAGGTTATCTACAGATTCATTGTGATCATCAAAATTCCAATGACATTCTTCACAGAACTAGAGGGGAAGAATACCCAAAAAATGTATATGTTCATACAAGAGATCCCATACAGACAAAGTAATCCTAAGCAGAAAGAACACTGGAGGTATAGCAGAGTACCTGATCTCAAACTCTATTATAGAGACCATGGTAACCATGGTAACAAAAATAGCATAAAACAAGCATGTAGACCAATGGAATAAAAGAGGATCCAGAACAAACCCACAAAGCTACAGCCACCTAATTTTCATCAAAGGCATCAAAAGCATTTGGACAAAAGACAGTCTCTTCAGCAAATGGTGCTACAAAACTAGATACTTACCTATTATACTGCACAAAAATTAATTCAAAACAGATTAAAGGCCTTAATGTAATATCTGAAATTCTAAAACTGATTGAGGGAAACACTTCCAAAATAGAGATAGGAATGAGCGACAAATTTCTGGAAAGAACCCCCAGAGTTTATGAAGTAATTGCCAAGAACAGACAACTAGAGTTGCACAAGATTAAAAAGTACCTGTATACAAAGGAAACAGTTATCAGAAGTGACAGTTTACAATAGCATTTGCCAACTATGTATCTGACAATAATGTACAAAAAACTCTAAAAAACATCCATCAATAAATGAGCACGTGAAGAAGTCTCAAAATAAAATGAGCAATAAATACTTGAAAAAAATAACATTCTGTTTTTGTTTGCTTGTTTGTTTTTCAAGACAGAGTTTCTCTGTGTAGTTTTGATGCCTGTCCTGGATCTCACTTTGTAGACAGGCTTGCCTCGAACTCACAGAGATCTGCCTGACTCTGTCTCCCAAGTGCTGGGATTAAAGGCCTGCGCCACCACTGCCCAGCCAAAAATAACATTCTTAGCCATTAAAGAAATGAAAAATTAAAACTACCCCAGTCAGAACAGCTATCAAAAAGAAGCCCCCCCCCCAAAAAAAAAATGCTGGTGAAGATGTAAACTGGTAGTAGGGCCACTATGGAAATCCTTCTGAGGACTATGCCTAAGAACAAATGCCACTTCTACAGCTGCTGTGGAATAATCCTCTTGTACACTGTCATTCAAATTGGTTTAATAAAATGTTGATTGGCCAGTAGCCAGACAGGAAGTATAGGGAGGGCGACCAAACTAAGGATACTGGGTGACGAAGTCGCCAGCCAGTTGTAGAGGAAGCAAGATGAGAATGTCGTACTGAGAAAAGGAACCAAGCCATGTGGTTAAATGTAGACAAGAATTATGCGTTAATTTAAGTGTAAGAGCTAGTTAGTAATAAGCCTGAGCTACTGGCCAAGCATTTATAAGTAATATTAAGCCTCCAAGTCAATTTGGGAAGCAGCTGCTGGATATTTGGAAGCTGCTGGCGGGACAGAGACTTCTGTTTACATACAGCTGTTCCTCTTTCTCCTCCCAAATCAATTACAAAGCCTTGGAGATCCAGAAGAAACACTGCAACACCCAACTGGTTCAAAGCAAATGCTCCATCTTAAGACAGTCAAGTGTGACTTTTAAAGCACGTGGTGAGGGTTTACTATACTTCAAGAAGTACTAAAATAATTTACCAAAAAGAAAAAAGTTTTAGTGGTGAAGCATCTAGATTCTCTACAAGATTCACTGCTAGCAAGTGCCTGCAGCAAAGTGAATCAGAGGCTAGTGCCTAGGAGAAGCACATGTTCCCAACCCTTCTAACCTTCCAAAAACCTGTGAATGAACTCAGGACAACACAGCAAGTCCAAAGAATCTATTCAGATCTTAGTTTAACAAAAGTTTTGCACGGTCTCTGGGCAGAGATTAAGATATCATAACCCTCACTCAATTTATGTAAGACATAGAACCCCAAGGGTAGCTTGTAGAATACTTTGACTTTTTTTATATTCTTAAACCAGTTATGAAACATCCCTGCAGAAGGCTGCTTTTCTTTCTCTGAAGTACCTGAATACATGCATGGCACAGTCTGAAAATCTTTATCAAATAAAACAAAGTCCAAAGACTCAAGGAAGCAAACCTCCCGAGTCATTGTCTCAGTCAGTAAGATAAATGCTTTGAACAATCCCCTAACAAAACCATTCTATTGTTCTGTGGAAGGTATGAGAATATAATGTGATTTTAAAAGGTCTTCTGAATCTAGAGAGGACTTGGGAGCTTACTTGAGGGTACTGAAAATGAGGAAAAAGACAAGAAGGAGTGCAGACAGTAAAAACGGGCTATAGTTAGTATACATTTTTATACATCTATCTAAATATATACTTATTCCTAAAATTAAGTCCAATAAGGATCTATATATATAAGCTTTACAGTATTAAAAAGGAGTAATTCATAGTGACTAAGAAATTCCATGCCAAGGAGTTTCTTTTGAAATATTGGGGAATAATAAGGTTACACTGTAGATACACTAAAAACTCAAACTATATACACTCTAAAATGGCAAATTTTGTGGTATGCATATACCTTAACTTTAAAAAAATCTTATCCTATTAGCCTTCTCCATTTCTAAACTATCTGGATAAGTGCTGTTCAATCTCACTAACTAGAACAGTAAAAACACAAGCTGGTCTAGGTCAAGTTCTCTTACTACTTACTTTGTTTTGAACCATTAAGCTGGCTAAGTCAGTACATCTTGGAAAAGTATAGACACCACCAGGTGGAGTCACCCAGAAAAAAAAAGCTACCATAGCAGAAGATCTTACCTAGAGAAGCCATTTTCCTTCTCCTTCTTTATTTTTGCATCCCCAGCTGCTCTAATCTGCAAGGTAAAAACCACAGCAACTCAGTAAGTGCTTTGCAAAGTATTAAATACTTAAAACAAATCTCTTATTCAAGACTATTACCATCAACTGGGGAAGTTAAAAATTGTTATTAGCATATATTAATTATACATAAAACAGATTTCATTATGACATCTATACAAGTATATGAGGTATTCTGATCTATGCATAGCTTGTCCTCCCAGTCCCACTGATCCCCTTCCCAATAAGTCCTTTCAATTGCCATGTCTTGTTTTGTCTTCTTTCTTTTTGAGTGACTCACTGAGTTGAATGAAGGTTGCTTACAGGAGTATAAGCACCTTACCAGTGACAACACTAGAGAGAATGTCTCTCTTTCCTCTAATAACCTTTAATGGGTGGTAAGTCTTGAAGAAGGAGTAAGGCCTCGTGAGTCCCTACCCTTCTCTAAGACAAAATGTTGATGGGGACAATATTGTTGTACATGTCTTGTGCAGATAATCACAACAGTTGACTGTTCAAGAAGGCCAAGGGCATGCCAGGCCATTTTGGAGCATCTTGATCATAGTGTATCTATTTTTCCAATCTCCTTCAACGTTCTTTTTTGCACTTGTCATTAAAAAAATAAATCGTTCAAAAATCTTGACACATATACACAAAGGGATGACCCTCAGCTTCCTTCACAAAACCATCAGTACACTGGCTATCTTGGAGAAAGATGGGGACAGCAAGTCAGGAATGACAAGGTGTCTTTTTCCACAATCTCTACTTTACCGTGTCTGAGTTTTTTCATTCAAGAATCTTCAATCTTTCTTTTTTGAGACAGGGTATATATCCCAGGTTGGAAATCACCTTGAACTCACTTTATAACTCAAGATGACTTTGAATTTCTACTCCTCCTGTCTCCACCTCTCAAATGCTGGGATTATAGGCATGTACCAATACACCTGGTTTAGGTAGTGCTGGGGATCAAACTAAAGTGTTCCTGCATTCTAGTCACTCTACTAACTAGGCACATACCCAACCCCAGAATCTTCAATCTTCACCAAAAAGAGACCCGATAAAGCTTTAGTTTAGGCCTTCTTCCAAAAACAGAACCTTCCTTAATACAGAAAGATGATGTTTCCAGAAATTTTATATCCTCGTTGTAGTATAAAATAAACAGGTTTACTGTATTGTGAGAGACCCAGTGGTAAATGATTTAGTTTTCATATTTTCAACAGGTTGACTCTAAAGTTTTTTTGGGAGGGAAGTGGGGAATTCAGTGAAACACTGCAAAGAAGCGGTGGGCTAGGCAGTAACTACAGTATTGCCTACTAACTCTGAAGTCTAGCTACAGACCGTTTTACTCCCAATACCAGGGGTATATACAACAAAGGTACTTTCATTACCTGCTTCCAAATTGATCAAAATAAAAGCACATCTTAAGTCCCTTTTTTCCCCCTAAAGGAATTATGTACCTTTTCCTCCTTTCGTTTTTCCTTGTCTCTGTCTTTATGTTTGTCTTTATGTTTTTCTGAGCTTCCATCTTTGTGTTTGGTTTTCTCCTTCTCTTTATGTTTCTTTTCAGAATCTTTATGTTCACTGTTAAAAATAAGACAAAGTGTTAGCCTAGAGTTAGAAACACAAGATTAACTTAAAAGACATAAATTATGAAAACTTGCAATGCTTACTTAGATAGTCCCAACAAAAGATTCAAAGACTGCTGGCTGTATCAGTGGTCCCTCCTGGGTTAGTTCACCAAGAGTAACCATAAACACCAAAATAAATCATCTGTGGATTTTGTTGTGATCTCCCCTCAGCTCCTAGGTACAAGCTGCCACTGAGACAAAAACCCATAATGAACCAGAGGTACAGAGAAGTATACTCAGTATACTCAGTGTGTGCTGTATTAGGAGCACAGGGAACAACTGGGAAGGAGAAAACATTCCATGGCACAACCTTGTTTCATGACTCTTTGTGAGAATGGCATGGGCCAAATGAGACCTGAGAGATGGTGCCCCTTTACATGTTGACTCAGCAGTCAATCAAGTTCCTTAGAAAGGTTGCCAAAGCCAGGCGGATCTCTTTGAGTTGGAGGCCAGCCTGGGCTACCAAGTGAGTTCCAGGAAAGGTGCAAAGCTACACAGAGAAACCCTGTCTCAAAAAAACAAAAACAAAAACAAAAACAAAAAAAATAATAATAAGGTTGCTAAAGTCCTGAACATAGTCACTCGTTTCCTGTCCTCACAGAAGCTTCTTTAGGACTCCTTCATAGTTGTCACATATAGCCTGGGAGTTCCCCGCTTTTGGGTTCTTGCTCTAATTAATAAAAGAACTTAGAAACAGACTCAGAAGGAAGATTAGGGCACACAACTAGAAAATCTTGGTTCCTGACAGAGGAAGGTAGAGAGAGAAGAAGACGACAGAAAGCCATGCTGTTGAATTAGGCCAATATGTTCAGCAATGGAGGTCCCCAAATAGTCACATGGCAATTAAGCAGCTCCATGGCAGAAGGGATATGGGAAATGAGTATCTTATAGAACAAGTGAGAAAGCCCAGAATTGTCAGAAGAAGCATGTCCAGACTTTGGGCCAGTTTATCAATGAAAAACAGATTTAAAATTAAAAGAAAAGGCTTTTCTACACTAGGTCCCACAGAAGCAGGTAGATAAACTCTCAAGCACTACATAATGCAAGCTCTGCAAATGACTAAATCCAAAACATTCTTTAAAAGTGACAGAATATACAGCAAGTCTAGTGTTATTTATGTAACTTTCTAACAGCAAAAAAATGCAATGAAAGTGAAACAGTCACATCTAATATATGAGGACTCAATCCAACTTACTGAAAATGTATCTGGTGACTATGTCAGTCTCAAGACAAAATGTTGTAAAGTGAATGGACCAGCATACTGAAAGTTCCACCATTAGCTTTAACTAGGAAGAACTAGTTACTTCTAGATGAAGTTTATAAATTCTGCTTGCCTCTTCCTCACAAAAAGAAAAGACACATCTGAAATCAAGGACAAGTATGGTGATATTTTATTTGTATTAAAATGTTATTTGTATGTTAATAAATAAAGTTGCCCAGGGGTCAGAGCTATTAGCAAGCCATAGGAAAGCAGGGCAGTGGTGGCATACACTTGTAATCCCAGCACTTGGTAGGCAGAGCTAATAAGTCTCTGTGTGTTCAGGGATACAGCCAGTATTGGATACACATGCCTTTAATCTCAATACCAATAATACAAAACCTGGAGGTCTATACAGACAGGCCGTGATGAGGCGGTCCTGTGGTTGGGTTTACAACCAATGAGAAGGCAGAACAGAAACACTATAAAAAGACAGACACACAGGAAGTAGCTCTGGTTTGGAGAGGTAGGACCACCACAGAAGGAAGGGTAAGGTTTTAGCTCTTAGCTCTGACCTCTTGACTTTCTTCTTTGCATTGGTTCTGTGTTTCTTATTTAATAAGACGGTTGGTTACATCTACAAATGGCGCCCAACGTGTTGGCAAGAGTTTCCACCTAAAACCTGAGAAAAGATACTAAAACGGAGCTAAAAACGGCTTCTTAATTGTCTCTCTCAAATGAGCGGCAGCTGCCAGTTTGAGCTACTTGTGGGTTCCTGGCGTGCACGCTCAACCTGCAGTATGGCGGGAATGAGCCCTCTGCAAGTGGCACATTAAGCTGCGTGGTGGATTTAGCCTTTGCTAGTACAAAACAAAAAAAGAGGTTTCTGGGCGACACACAGCTTGGATAAAAGCATAGACCCACGATAGCTCGCAGAGCTGGTAGTAAACGTACCACCACCATGTTGGGAAGCTGAGGTGGGCGGAGCCAGCAGCCATAGCACCGTTTCAGTCTTACAAATGCTGCAGTTTAAAGCAATAGATTCACAATAAGACAGATTCAGATGTAATAGTTTACAATGTGTGTAAAATATACGAGGGCTTGAAAGAGACAAAAAAGGTGATATATACAGTTATAAAATAAAGTCTTTAAACAGACAATAAAATTAATATAAAAAATAAGCCACATAAAGATGAATATTACACAGAGAGTCTGGATTGTGTTGTCTTTGGGATTTTTAACTGCAGAAAAACATTTGATCGTAAAAGATGTTGAGTTTAACCAATATGTATATTTTAAAGATACCTTGACTTCAAAATTTGGATGTAAGGATGTGTTGCTTTGGAATGGAGACTCTGCTTTTGTTCCCACAGAAAGCCAGAGGCTATGGATTTGTTCCAGATTAAGACACAGCAGGTTTGACCAGCCAAGACCCCCTGAAAGGTCTCCGATTACACCATGGCCCAGATAATCCAACATCCAGAAGGCAACTGGCTCAGACAATACAGCCTCATGGACAATTCCATAATCCTAAAATTTTCTTTTGCGTCTCCATAAGATACTGCGCCCCCCTCCAGCAGGAAGTAGTAAGAGAAACTATGCCCAAATTCCCAAATTATATGTAATTTTACTTTGTTAAGGTTAAAACCTTCCTTTTTTTTAAAAAAAAAAAGGAGGGGGATGCTGTGGGATGTATATGGCAAATGTGTTGCTCTGATTGGTCAATAAATAAAACACTGATTGGCCAGTGGCTAGGCAGGAAGTATAGGCGGGTCTAACAGAGAGGAGAAAAGAAAGAACAGGAAGGCAGAAGGAGTCACTGCCAGCCACCGCCAGGACAAGCAGCATGTGAAGATGCCGGAAAGCCACGAGCCACGTGGCAAGGTATAGATTTATGGAAATGGATTAACTTAAGATATAAGAACAGTTAGTAAGAAGCCTGCCATGGCCACACAGTTTGTAAGCAATATGTCTCTGTGTTTACTTGGTTGGGTCTGAGCGGCTATGAGACTGGCGGGTGACAAAGATTTGTTCTGACTGTGAGCAAGGCAGGAAAATTCTAGCTACAGACAAGTTCTACATTCATTATTTCAAAGTCATGCTTTGAAAGAGTAGCATGTAAAAATAAAATTCCTATTTTGGAAAGCAAAATATTACAAGGCAAGAGCCATTAAAATGATCATACGTGTTCATATAGGATCTACCGTCTAGAAATTTCTTACGGAAATAATGTTACATACAAAGATGTTTATTTTGGTACTTACCATAAGAACCAAAAGGAAAAAGAAAATGAGAAAATGGGAATATGGATACAATCTAAAAGATTAAACCAAAGAAGAAATTGTGTTATATCAAATTATGTAACTATAAAGGAATATTTGTTGACTACTATAAGAATTCAAACAGAATATTCCTGACAAATGCCAACAGGACTATGAAAAAATGCCTTTGACTATAAATGTAGACAGAAACAGAGACTACCAGTAAAAACCACATGTTACAGAACAATGTAGATAGTCATTTTCTTCTGTATATCTGGCATTTGCTTATTGTAGGAGCTGATGGATTCCACAGCTAAGCAAAACAGAACTCAAATTCAATTATATCAATTCGGGGTTCATCCCAGGTGCAGGAGTGCTAATTATAGTAAGCTCAACCAATAGGGATAGTCAGGACTATAAGGTTCATCAGTTCATTCGCCACTTGTTTTTTTTCCTCAGAGCAGAAAAAGGAGGCTTCACTGGCAATGACCCCAAGAAGCCCAAAAGGTCTCCTCTACAGCTGTTTCCTAAAAGGATATTTGTCTATAAAGACAAAAACAGGACAAAAAAGTAATGGCATTAAATTAAGACAAGCCATAGAATATGGGTCAGCTACACCTACCATTATACCCACCTCTATGCACAAAAGTAGCCATAGCTAGGACAAGCATCTGGGTTATAAGTACAGACTCTAAGAACTCTAAGAGAAACAGGACTACAGATTTAAGAGGAATGCAGGGACTATCACAGATGAGACGAAATGCCCACTTTGCCTTGTTTACATACTACATTCTCCTCCTGTTCCCATCAGCTGTTATATAAGTGACAAGTTTCTACATCAGCAAACCTTTTAGCTCATGAAGGCTGAATGGCACAGAGAATGCTTGCTGATGGCATACAGTGACCACATTTCTCCACTAACAGTATTATCAGTCTACTCACTGTGTTCTTGTGTGTTTCAACCAAAGTACAATGTTTTATCAAAAAAAAAAATTATCCTATAACCAGTATAAAGAAATTAATCCTTAGGGCTAGAGAGATGCCTCAGAGGTTAAGAGGGTACTGGCTGCTCTTCCAGAGGTCCTGAGTTCAATTCCAAGCAACTACATGGTGGCTCACAACCATCTAATTAAAGATCTTGTGCCCTTTTCTAGCATGAAGGCATACATGCAGGCAGAACACTGTACACATAATAAATTTAAAAAAAGAATCTAATCCTTTATTTGTTGCTGAGCCTAAAATCTGACTCACTAGGTGGCATACACCTAATAATATGCATAGTTTTGATATTACTATATTTAGCTTCTATTATAAAAGTACAATAATAATAATAATAATAATAATAATAAACAACCCTGTAACAAAGTCTAAACATTTAAGTGTCCTACATAAATTTTATATAAAAGAAAACTCTGGAAACAAATGCAGTCATCTTAATGATGAATATATCTTCTCCCCACACTATCCTAAACCAAGCATTGTACTTAGTTTTAG